TTTTGAAAGTAATAAAATGAGTAATTAAATTGATAAATCACTATTGGCTTGCCTGACAGAGGCATTAGGTGCCATCATGTCCTATAGTGGATTTTGGGTCGTGACATTACCCAACCCAAATTGGAAGATTCCTAAAATTCATCCCTGGGCCCACGTGCCTGAATTTCAGAAAATTTTGAAGATAAATGTTATCCATAACCTCATGAACTCAAATATATAATTTCTACCTAATTCCATAATTATTTAAGTGGTTTAGTCCCATTTTTAGCAAAACCTAAGTTTTTCAACTAAAACCATAATTTCTATAATTTATATGTTAAGAATCTATCCAAAATGCATGTATTAAACTCATATTGTGTAGAAATTACTTACCTCAAAGTGCTAGGTGAAAATCCCTCCTGAAAGAGCTCTAAAATCAACCAACAAGTGAGAGAAATGGACCAAAAAGCCTAAGTCCCGACTTTTAAAACATTCTACCCAGGTCTGTACCTTCATCGTGATCGCGAACAAGACCTCGCGATTGTGAAGGCAAAACTGATGATCCCAGGAAACATTCCTCCTCGTGATCACGAGAGAACACTCGCGAACGCGTGCACTGAGCCGTCTACTAATCGCGAATGCGTTCCATCGCTCGCGAACGCATATAGCAACTGGGTTGCCCAGGCCCTTGACTCTATGCGAAAGCGATAGGTCTCCCGCGAAGGCCACTGGCCCAAAGCCTTCAGGAACACGACGCACAAAACCACACAGTCCCTAATTCTTCTTCGTGATTGCATGGGTTCCTTCGCGTTCGCGAAGAAGCAAACCAAAATAGCACACCAACAGATTTTGACTTAGCTCCAAGCGGTCTGAAACGCACCCGAGCCCTCCGGAACCTCGTCCAAATGCACCAACAAGTCTATAATCATAATACGGACCTGCGCAAACTCTCGAAACACGTAAAACAATATCAAAACTAAGTATTGCACCCCAAAACCAAATTGAATCAAGTTATGAACTTCAAGCTTTTTAACTCACTCCAAACGCATCGAATCATACTTAGACTACTCGAAATGACACCAAATTTTATGTGCAAGTATTAAATCACCATACAGAACTATTCAAAGTCTCGGAATCCCAAAGGGGCCTCGATTACACCATAACCTACTCCAAACCAAACTTAAAAAACTTGAAAACCTTCAATGCGCCAACTTTCAATAGTAAGCGCTGAAATGCTCGCGGGTCATCCAAAACCCGATCCGAACATACGGTCAAGTCCAAAATCATCATACGAACCTATTGGGACCGTCAAATCCCGATTCCTAGGTCATTTACTCAAAACGTTGACTCAAGTCAAACTTAACCATTTTAAGCCACTATTAAGGAACTAAGTGTTCCGATTTCAACCCGAACCCTTCCAAACCATACCTAACCATCCTCGCAAGTCATAAAACAGTAAAAGTACATACGGAGAGTCTTAATTAGAAAAATGAATATCTAGAAAGCAAAACGACCGGTCGGATCGTTAAAAGATATAATGTGATTCTATACACACTTTAAATTTATTTGATAAAATTAAGTAAATAAATAATAGTCAAAAATATTATTGATAAATTTAAATATCTAAATAATCTAATAAAGTCATACAAAATAAAGTCAAGTTAAATTTCAAGAGTAATACAAAATTATATTAATTGTATTATACTAAATTGGTAACTTATTAAAAATTTACATGTCAATTTAAAAATATTAAATAATGAATAATACAATTAGATAATCAAGGAACAAAAAAAGAAATAAAATATATATTTGTGGCAAAATATAAAAATATAAGACTTATAAATAGAATTATGATGAGAAAATCCGTACATATACACATAACTAAAATTATAATACACTATTAAGTCATAAAGGAAGAATACTAAAAAAAAAAAAAGAATTTCAAGCTATATGGTAAATTATATATTACTAATTAAATTTCTCATGTAGGAAATTTTAGTTAATAAATAGAACTCATAATTTTATAATAAAAAATATAAAAATATAAAGATACTATTAGAATATTATACATAAGATTAGTGTGTGTATATATATACTATAACTTATAGTCTATAACATAAGTTTAAAAAAATAAAAATATTTTTAGAGTGAGAAAATATATATCTATATTATATTAAAAGACAAATAATATCAAAATATTAAGTCAATTGAAAAGTTAATAAAAAGTCGTATCAGTAAATTTATAATACTAAGTACTTGCTAATTTAATAATAATAAAGAATAAATAAGGAACACACAATTTATTTGATTACTATATAATGTATATTCTTTGATTTTGTATAAATTTTATTATATTTTTGTATATTACATTATTACTAAAATAAAAACTAATATTTATTAAAATAATATAATATATTAGATCATAATTTTATAAGATTATATATACCGGTCACCCAAGAAACCTAATTAACTTCACCTAACACAGGCAACTATATATATTCTCCTAAACCTAACTCCTGAAGCCTTTAGGTTCCACTTGTCATTTTATTTTAGTTCCACTTGTCATTTGAAGCCTAGCAAAAGCCACAGAAGTTAACCAGTGAGAAAAAAATTATTTCGTAAGGAAGAAAGCAGGAACAAGTGAAGAACATGTGTCATGTTGAAAGTTGAAACCACAACTAAGCATTGTAAACATTTACAGATTTCGAGGAAAGCCGCAACAAGGATGACCTTTTTGTGTGTGTCTGTCTCTGCTCGTGCAAACATGTGTGCTAAACTAATTGCCTTATATCAAATTCGGCTTTATCACAAGCCAAGGCACGCGGGAGCAAGCAGATGTAGATTCATTGAATACATCTCCTATAACCTGTTCCGTTTACTTAAACTTATTATTTAAGAAAAGTCCGTGTAGTTAAACACAAATTTGCCTTCGTTCACCTACTGGTTAAATAGAAAAAAATAATATTGTAAACATTTTATGTGTTTTTTTTACGGATCTTCTATATTGTATTTTACCAACTTCCTGCAAAAATGATTATATGATTAAAGTAATATTGGTTATGGAATATAAAATCAAGTCTCCCCTTTAACTGCTACAATCTCATGTTACTGTGTGCGCAAATAGTCAATTGAGTTCTAACGAGTTATAATTATTTATAATAATCTAATCTATAATTAAAAAGCTTGAAAAACTGCAGGTGGATTTCAGCCCATTTCGACTTTAAGTTATTTTTTAGATGTCCTCCCGACTTCTCCACTGATGTTATGATATAATTTTCCGATGTCTATGATTCCCAATTCAATAATTTTCCGATTCTATGATATAACTTTAAAGTTATTCTTTTAGGTGTCCTTCCAATTCTGCGATGGACTTTGGACAATTTGATATGTACCGCAACTTGGTAACCCTAAGTTTTAACAAAGTGAATGGATAATGGCAATAACTGAAGCTTTACCAAGTTCAAATTCATTGCCCATAGGCTTATGTTTAGGGTGGCTTTGTACCCCCATTTTATTAAATTAAAGTTTAAAGAAAAAGATATAGGGACACTATGCCATTCTTGAAGACTTGCACGTATAGAAACATCCTTAGGTCAGCAGTGCATTTCGGCGTTTTACTAACTTATAATATGCAGACTTCTGAAAGGCAATTTGGAATGCAAATTCAGATATATGGCAATATGTCGGAATAAATCCATCTGAATTTGCATTAGACTTGAAATCTAAAAGCTGCTGAAGATATTCCATTGGTATTATCAACATAAAGGTGATATTTTATCACTGTCTCATTTTCAGAAACATAAAACATTTCATGAATCGCCTCTTTATACGAGTCCGGAATCAAAGTGTGAATCTTTTAGACTCGAGCGATCCAAATAGGTTTAACAAAAATTGGGCACCATTTTATATATAGCGCGGTTATTCACCGCGCCATACCTTAACGGTACTTTTGTCCGTTAAGGTATAGCGCGGTGAATAACCGCGCTATATATAAAATGTGACCCCACCAATAATTCATCTGCACTTAACTGACCCACTAATAATTCATATGATATAGCGCCTATTATGCATGTGCTATACATCAAATAATTGTACCCTCCGGACTGAGTTTTTTCTTATTTGAGGAGTTTCAGAATTTAGTGAAAATTCATTCAGGATCCTTTAAGTCTTCTGAAATATTTGTTCGTAAATAAAAAGTAAGTCGGAATGCCTCAATTTATAATTTTTTGAAAGGTGAGGATTTGATGATTTGAGGGCCGAAACGACCAATCCACTACGCGATAACGCCTTAGATCAAGTGTAATCTTGCTACATACCGAGAAGATACACTTTTTGTGGGAAGGGTAGGCTCCACTGAGTTTTGTTTTTTTAAAATGGAGGGGGGAGCGATTTTTTTGTTTTGGGGTTTGCTGGTTCGCGTCTGGTGGGGGAAGGAGATGGCACGGTTTTTTATATAGGTATAGCGCGCATATATAAGGCGCTATACTATAGCGCCTTATATATGCGCGCTATACCTGCCGCCCATTTTAAGTTTAAATATTGCGCGATGAATAACCGCACTATATATAAAATGGTGCCTAATTATTTTTTAATCTATTTTACCAAGTTAACCCGCAGTCGTGTTGGTTTACCCTTTTCTTAATTTGCTAACATTTCCAATCTCTGATTTTCGTACGTACCGTCAGCTATTAGTCTATTTTATAATCCCTCAATATTCAACAGTATCAGAGATATTTCTTAGCTTCATTAGGTACAAAGAAAATCTTCACTTTCTATATCTTTTCATAGCTAAGCATCAGTCCTAACTTTATTCAAAGTCTTTATTGGAAATCAAGACTACATATTACTGCCGAAGAAACATTGCAGTAACTTGATCTTAACATTGACTATACTGCTTCTAATTACTCTCAAAAGAAAAGCTACCTTTAGAAAATATGTAGAGAAATATAATTAATAGGATGTATGTGTTGTACAATAGACCTATTTAATTAGGCTCACCTAGCTTATTTTAAAGTCATGGATAGAAAGAATGAATGGCACTTTTCCATAACCAAAGATTTCAAGTTCCAAGAACTTCAAATTAGCATCTAACTTGTAGTTCTAAAATTTAGCCATAGAAATCATGGAACTAAGATTTTTGTCACTAAAAGGTGAAACTACATTGACAATGAGAAAATTATTTACACTGTCGGTGGATATAAATAAAATAATCAAAGCCAAATTAGGAATGGAATACTAATAGTGGTGGACAGTCAAGTCATAACTAAACCAGAAATAAGTACCAAGCTCTTTACTTTGGTCTAGAACCCAAAAATCCAAGCTGCTGAGCCAAAACATCCACATCTTCATCTTTTTCTTCAATACCAAGTACAGTGATATCATCTTCAACATTTTCATACAACAAATCCTCCCAAAATCATTCATCAATTGATTTATGCTCACTTTCTAATTCTCCTATATCTTCTTTCTCAATGGTGTAGTCTTCAATACTGATTGTGTTCCCACTTGGTCCTTGCATACTCATAGCAAGTCTCTCCAATTCAAAATCACCAAATCCATAAATTTCACCATAATATTCTTGAGATTCTTGCTTTATACTATGATTTCCATCATTCACACCATGACCTAATTCTATAACTCCAACATTATTACTAGGACCTTGATCAATTGGCCTCCTTCTCTTCTTCCTAATTTCATCCTCTATTTGTTCTTTCCTTCTTTCCTTTTGCTGCAACATCTGCTCCAAAAATCTTGGATTTTGTATTGCTTTAGCCAAGAAATTCATCATTTGTTGCTGTTTTTGTTCTGTCCTTTTAAGCTTTTCTTCCATTGCTTTAAGGTATGATTTAGTAGTCTGCTGCTGTTGTCTAAGCTTCACCAGTTCCATCATTAAAACCTGCTTCTCGCGCCTTACTCGATCAATTTCTCCATCTAATTCAAGCTTTCCCAATTCAATATAAGAGTCTATACCTTGATTTGAAGCTTGGCTAGGATGGAAATAACTTGTCTTTCTCCTCCTAATTGCTTTCAAGAGATGCCTTTGCCCCCTCAAAAAACCTTCATTAGCAAACTCCCATTCGTCTGGATTAACCTTCCTAAATCCCTGCATGATAATTCACATTGCTAGTACTCTTCCATTAGGGAGGAAAAGAAAAAAAGAAAGGACCACGAAAAAACCAACGATTTTATTTTCTACAATTTTTTATTATTGGTTATTAGTACCTACCTTATTTTCCAGTTTACTAAATATACCTTTTACGGTCTATTCATCTGTAGTTATATTTTACTGGTTGACATGATAGTATAAAAATTTCTTCACGTACACTTTCCTGTTTAATAGTTAAACTCATAATAAAATTATACTTCCTCCGTTTCAATTTATATGAATCTATTTTCTTTTTAGTTCGTGTAAAAAAGAATGACTCATTTCCTTATTTGGAAACAATTTACCTTTATGCAATGATTTATAACAACACAAAATATATGCGCCTCATTTTACACCACAAGTTCAAAAGTCTTCTCTCTTTTCTTAAATTTCGTGCCCAGTCAAATGGGTTCACATAAATTGAAACGGAGGGAGTATTGTTAACTCACTGGCTAGTCTGGAAGTTTAGAAGACCTGTAGAAATTATAAGATGTCAAGAAACTCGTACAAAAATTGCTACTGATACAAAAGAACTGCATACACTAATGAAATGTAGCTGGACAGACGGTAATATGAATTGGCTGATATTGTAATGTTAATTACTCGTAGGAAACTGAATATTTCATTTTTGTTTTGTAACCGAAGATTCACTTCCCTTTCTTTGTGATTGAGCTGCCAATTTATATAATTTTCTAAGCACTTAAAATGAGCTGTCATTTTAAACAAAAGAAACAAATCTATTGCAACTTGCCAATAAAGGAAACAAATCTAGTGCAAGTTGCCACTAAAGGAAACAAATCTAGTGCAAGTTGTATTCCACAGAAACTTCACGAACATGAGCGCAAATCATAACAAAATTCTAGAGCACTATACAAATACTCAACAACTATTTGTGTCAGTATGTAGAACTTTAAGTCTTGAACTTTTTTTGTTCCATTCACTATCTACCTATATATACCCCTATATACTATTTGAGTTGGTTGGAGAAAATAATGCTTACATAAGTATTGAGCTGCCTGACAAAGCTTGAGAAATTGCTATGCTTGAAATACCTTGGAAGGAGATTCATGGCAAAGGTTTGAGGATCCCAAACAATGAAACTGTTATTACCTCTACTCCAAGAAACAATATCGTTAGTGTTTGGATCATCCACAAGTTCATAAGTCTTTGTTAGAAATGGTGGAGGGCCATTCTCATGAAGCCCCTCCATTGGTTGAGGAATCCACATAAAAGAAGAAGGCTCACTAGATCCAGGAACCTCTTCTTTTATTGGAGCAAAACTAGGATCCATACTTAAAATCTTGAAGAAACAAGGGATAGAAAAATTAAATCGTATGAGGTGAAGCTCAAAAGAATAATAAGCTTTGATAGAGAAAATAACAAATGAGGATAATATATATATATATAATGTATTTTTAAGTTGAGAAGGGAGTGATGCTATAACATATATCTTTGGAGGTTTATCTTCAAAGGCTGTTGATTTGGAGTGGTTTAAGGAGTTAGGGTTTGCGAGGAAGGGTTGGAAGTAAGGAGAATCAAGATTTAGATGGAAAAATGAAGAAAAAGGGACGATAGACAAAGAATTATTTTCCAAAAAAGATGGTGGATACAGAGAGATAAAATAGTTGCAAAAACAGTTTGTAAAGTCAGAAAGATTGGATTTAGATATGGAAGAGAAGGAGAAGGAGATGGAAATATGTTGTAATGGAGGTCAAGAGGGAGGAGAGAGAGAGATGGAAAAAGGAGCTGTTAGGTCACAGCTTGATCAATACAGGTTATGAAAATAACAATAGTAGTTTATTATGGAATGGTCCTTAGATATTTTCAGTCCCTGATCTACCCTTTTTTTTTTTTTTTTTTTTTTTTTTTTTTTTTTTTCCTTTTCCCAAAATCCCTCCGCACTAACCCTTTAGGAAGGTTTGGTAGGAGAACAGTTCTAAATTCTTCATTAGTCTGGTATCTTTCTTTTTCCGGTGAAAAGCAGTATATTCTAACATTTTGAAAATGTCTCAAAATACTTGATACGCAAAACAGGATAACTCCTAGATCTCTTTTTTCCCTCTTATAGTACTGTTATAGGTAGCTTCAACTTCTTTCTAATAATTATTTACTTGGCTTTAATGCCTTACTTAAAATAAAGGGGATGATTCTAATCTTGTGTTAATTTTGCCTACTTATTAAATTGCGGCCGGAGAAATGTAAACGTGAAGACTCGGGTCCGAGTGCAACGTAATTAAGAGAGTCATCCATTAGGATGAGACGAAATGGGTAGGGCATGGTCGGGTCTCTGCATTGATTGGTCAGAGAACAACTACTTCACTTATTATNATATATATAACTAGTCTTAGAGTACTCGTATCGCGCGTGTACCTCGTCTTGAGAAGTACCCAAATTTTAAAAATTAGTATATATCAATTATTATTTTAAAACTTGTGTTTGAGATATATGATAAAAGTTAAAGAAAAGAGTGTAAAATCATGAACATGATGATTTTTTATCCGATTTAGTTAACTCAATAAAGAAGAAACTCTGTCATAGAAGCTCTCAATTATCTCTACGCAATATATTCAACTTAAACTTTATTCAAGTTTTATGATTTTATTACTTCTATTTCACAAGATATCATACTTGCTTTTTCGTGTCTTCAAGAACACATAACTCTAGTAAAGTTGAAGGATTCAAATGTTAAAATTCTTAATTAGTACTGAATTTATTATAATATTTTAAAGTATGGGTTAATCAGTGGCATAGCCACCCTATTTTTGGTAGATATTTTGTTGGGCTAGTTTTGGTAAAATTATTTATGAAGTGACACTTTGGATAGTTTTCCCTATTCTTTATTTATGTTATCTTTAGTAAAACAGTTATTATGGTGGCCAATCTATTTTGTCATTCTCCTTCTTTATTTAGGTCTTAGACACGCTATATATAGATTAGGAAAATAATTATGATTGTTCTTAAATATAAGAAAAATAATTAAATGACTATTCTTCTATATTAGAAAAATAATTTAAATTACTATTTTATCCAATGTGAACTCTATTTTTAAAGGGTAAAAAGACGAACGATATTTCACTAAAGGCCTTCGTGCTTTTATTATACTAGTCATGCGGTGCGCGCGTTGCGCGTGTAATCTATCTAAATGAGTATAATTTTTTTTAAAATCATATAAAGATTATTTTTGAATTAAAATAAATGTGAAATTTTATATTAAAAAGAATATTATTGATTTTGTATAGCTAATGCAATAAGGGATATCAATTTATACCTTCATTCTCTATGTTTTCTTTTAGCTCTTTTAACTACTACCTTAAAATTCTTGACATAACATGAACAAATTGCATCTGTTTAATGAGTTTGCATACAAAATTATATTTCCAAAGCTTTCTTCTTTACATGCTTAGCCTATTAATTATAAGGCAAATTCCTTGAGTAAAACTTAATTTCTCCCTCATCCATTCTTCCTTGTTTGGCTCCTTCTCCACCTCCCGTTGGCCACATGTCAATGGATATACAAAGATAAAACACAGCACATTTAAACACAAAGGGGATTCTAGATTAAGTGAAGTGGCATAGATACTGAAGATTCATTTAACCAACCTAATTTACTTGAGATTAAAATGTCCGTTGTAATAGGTGTAACTGGATCAACACTGCCGGTTTCGCGTTTTAGAGTAACTTTTCTGTTTCCACCCAAAATAATTTCGAGGAAAATGAAAATCTGACCTTTATTTTGTTGGGAAAATAATAATAATAATCCCGCCCAGAAATAATATCCACGATAAATAACAATAACACAAGAGAGTAACAAAGACACAAAATCTTTTAACGGGGTAAAATTCAATACCTGAGCGGAGCAATATTACCATTATAATATTGCAGCTTAGTAGTGTCAAGAGACTACTACAACTTCGAAAGAAATAACACTCTTTATTTAAATATCTCACAACAATATTTCTCGCACTCACTATTTATCTCACATACTACAAATCTATGGATTTCTTACTCTAACTTCTATTACTTCTCTCTGTTTTTCGGTGTGTTTGAAGAAGTGAGAGAGCTCCTCCTTTTATAGGAGAAAATAACCTTGTACTCCAAGTGTGCTATACAAGAATTTTAATTCTCCTCCACATCTTTGCATACTTTGGCTCCAAGTAAAATCTTCCGCCAAGCTTCTCTGCCAAAGTAAATTCATAAGAAAAATAGGCACAAGGCTATTGCCAACCAATGGGATGGACCCCACAATCTCTTCCTTAATTTTAATTTTTCTTTTTCATTCCAAGTTTTAATCTCAATCTCTGAAAATCTTCAAACTTGAGAGGTTTTGTAAAGATATCCGCAGCTTGATCATGAGACTTAACATATTCGAGCTTGACTTCCTTCTTGGCAATGCATTCTTTAATAAAGTAATACATTGTATCTATATACTTGATTCGATCATGATACACTGGATTCTTCACAAATGCTTGTGCAGATTTGTTGTTAATACAAATCTCCGTAGCTTCAATCTGTTGTAAATTAAGCTCCTTCAATAATCTTCTCAGCCAAATAGCATGACATGTATAGGATGTTGCTACTACATATTCAGCTTCACAAGTCGAGAGAGTAACAATTGATTGTTTCTTTGAATTTCAAGAAATAACATAATCATCCAAGAAAAATACAAAATCGGTTGTGCTTTTTCTATCATCAATATCTCCCGCATAATCATTATTGCAAAATTCCAAAAGGTTAAAATTACTAGAAGAAGAGTAAAATAGCCCAAAATCAATCATACATTTTAGGTAACGAAGAAATTCTTCTAGCGACTTTCAAGTGAGTGGAGTTAGGAGCTTCCGTGAAGCGATACTCCAACTGCAAAGAGTATATATGACCTGGTACAAGTCAAGTACCTCAAACTTTTCACAAGACTTTTGAAAAATGTGGGATCCACTTTTTCTCCTTCATCAAGCTTGGACAATTTTGCCTACTCTCCATCGGCGTGTTCACAAGGTTGCAATCGAGCATGTTGAACTTCTTCAATATCTCTTTTGCATAATTTTCTTGAAAGATAAAAATTCCATCCTCTATCTGCTTCACTTCTAGGCCCAAGTAGTATGACATGAGTCATGCGTCCGTCATCTCGAACTCACGGGACATATTTTTCTTAAAAGGTTCAAACAAACTTGGGTTATTACCCGTAAAAATAAGATCATCAACATAAAGACAAACAAGCAAGATATCTCGATTAATATAAATTTTAAGGTAAAGAGCATATTCATTGAGACAACGAGTAAATTCATTGTCTTAAAAATACTTGTCGATGCAACTATTCCATGCTCGTGGGGCTTGCTTTAATCCATATAAAGCTTTCTTCAATCGCAACACTTTATCTTCATGGTTTTTGACCACAAAGCCCAATGGTTGTTCAACATAGACTTTTTCTTCAAGATAGTCATTCAAAAATGTTGACTTAACGTCTAGTTAATGGATCTTCCACTTCATTTGCATTGCCAAAAAGATGAGCAAACAAATTATCTCCATGTGGGAAACAAGTGCATAAACTTTTTCATAGTCAATGCCTTGCCTTTGCTTGTAGCCTTTAGCCACAAGTCGTGCTTTGTATCTCTCCACTTCTCCATCAACATTCTTCTTTATCTTGTGTACCCATTTTACTCCAATTGCTCGTTGTCCCTTGGGAAGAGTTTTTAACTCTCAAGTGTTGTTCTTCTCTATTGACTCGATCTCCTCCTCCATGGCTTGTCTCCATCTTTTATTTGTAACAACTTCATCAAAGTTCATTAGTTAACTATCAGCAAAGAGACAACATAAAAAATTAAAATTAGTAACTTATTATGTGTCCTCATAGAGCTCTTGAATATTCCTCATCCTTTGCGACTGCTCATTTGAACTTTATTGAGAAGAAGAAGATGCAACATTGGTTGAAGAAGGATTTGGAGTTATATCCTGCACATGTTCTACGGTCTCTGGTTCTTTTTCATTACCAAACTATGAAAGAAAATCATATGAAGTTTCTTCCTGAGCTTTCTAATTCCATGCCAATTCTTCATCAAATTCAACATCGCGACTTACTACCACTTTGTTGCTACTTGAGTTGTATAACTTGTAGTCTTTTGAACTCGTATCATAGACAACAAACACATGCTTAACACTTTGATCGTCAAGTTTCGCTCTCCCTTGTTGTGGCACATGAGTATAGGCTATGCTCCCAAAAATTCTTAGGTGCTTGACACTTGATTTTCTTCCACTCCATGCTTCTTGAGGGGTTTGATCTTTAATATTTCTTGTTAGAGACCTGTTGTTCAAATAAACTGCACAAGAAATAGCTTCGGCCCAAAATTCCTTGGGCATACTTTTAGCTTTCAACATACATCTAGCCATATTGAGAATCGTTCGATTCTTTCTCTCTGCAACTCTATTTTATTGGGGTGAATAAGGTACCGTTAGAGGGCGACGAATTCCATGAGGCTGACAAAAATTATTAAATTCTTTTAAAGTGAATTCACCTCCTCTATCAGACCTTAAAGCTTTTATTTCATAGACACTTTCTTTTTCCACAAGTACTTTAAAATTTTTAAAAGCAGCAAAACTTCAGATTTTTGGTTCAAGAAATAAACCCAAGTCTTTCTGCTAAAGTCATCAATGAAAAGCAAAAAGTATTTACTTTTACCAAAGTAAGATAGGTTGATTGGTCCATATACATCAGTGTGAACAAGCTGGAGCGGTTTGGTTGATTTTGACATGGCCTCCTTTGGAAAACTCCTCCTTGCATGTTTTCCAAGAAGACAAGCTTCACACAATTGATTGGGATGGTTGATTGATGGTATCCCAT